GTCGGTAAGCAACTCAAGAATCAATAAAGTAACTAAAATGAGTTTAATGTTAGTCAGTTTCAATAACAAGAACAAGTTTTTACTCTAGACTGTAAGTTCTCGTGAACCATTGGGACACTCTAGCTGTCCACCTTTCCACCGAAGGTTCACTCTGGTCCAGTTAATAATAGTACTCCAATCACGACAATCCAGTTCGTGGGAGTGCGCTCGTCTCTGTTTTAGATGGGACAGCTCTACTCTCGATTATTATTGCTACTGAAATTGCGAATAGCAATTTCCCACTGATTTTTCTAGCAACTTTCCCGCGATTGTCACTCGATCGTTCTGACTTCTCTTTCTTGATTTTTAGTTATCGCGAGAAAATCGTGCATGACATGCTCCATTCGAAATTTTGAAAAATTAAATTTCTCTCCAAAATCAAGTGTTTTTTGCTTCTCTCAAGGTCAAACTTCCAAATATGACCGACTGGCACAAATGTTCTGTTTTACATCTTTGATTCAGATTAATTAAATTGATGAGGCTTCTTTTAATTTTTAGAGAGAAATGCTGTCTTGTTTTCTGGTGGCTAATTATGAATGCAATCAGAAACAAATACGATCTAGTTCAGTTTTTAAAGACTGGCGAAGATCAGTTTTCCGATAACCTTTGTTGTCGGATTTGTTGGCATGTGGCGAACTTGATGCTTTTGGCGTTTAAACCAACTAATCATACTTTAATTGAATCGGAAAGGAAGTTTTTGTTCAAATTAGGTGTTGAGTTTGGAGGCTTGATTGAACTGACAAAGTCAGTGTCTATTTCAAGAAACATAGCGAGCACCTCAAGAATTGAAAATCTAGTGGCCAACCTTATAACAAAATTGTCCGATTTTCAATGCGGTGATTTGATATTTGAAGCATTGTTACCAATGTGTTCTGAAATACTTGAAGCTTGCTCGGAGGCTGATTTTGCAATAGTAGATGAGCGAAGTAGCGCGGTAGATGACAGTTTTGCGGTTGTCAAAATGAGAAATGATCATGGTCGTCAGCATACAGTTAATGCTATATCGTTCTTCAATGAACCAAGTACAAACCTCAGCGGAGTTTTGAATCGTTTGAGTGATAATCGACATCTGCAGGATTGTGCAAGTGATCATGATAGAAGTAATGAAAAAGCGTCGGGCTGGCAGGGGAAAAGAAATCGCAGGAGGATACCGTTTCGGATGTTTTCCAGAAAATCGAATAAGTTTGTTGCAGGGTTGACCTATGATGACGATAGCTAAGAGCCTCACTATAGCTCATAAAGACTTTAAAGTGCCATATTTTTGACAGCGTGTGTTGTTGTTTTTTAAACCATAGTTGCATATATTTTGTTTTGAATTTGACAAAATAGATATTTCAGTGATTATGCAAGCTTATTGAAATAGAAAATATTTCAGTTTGTGGCAGTGCAATTGAATATGTTAAATAGGTGACTTCATTGTACCGGTCCATTCACCCTAATTTTCCCGCTAACCCGGTTAAAAAAACCGGCGAAAACCAGCTCTTGTTTTTGTGTAGAGTCCTACACTCTTGTTGGCAAACTGGCAACACATTGCTGCAACTGCGTTAAGTAATTAAGCAAGTTTCGGGTGAATGGCCCCTCTTTCATTTTTATCCGTAAGTGGATGATTCCCAATTCAAATGAGTTGTTTGTTTTGTAAAGTACTTTAAGTAGATTATTATCAAACGATTGTTATCAAACGAATAATGGCTTTTTTCCATTTAACGTTTTTGTCTAGCCAATTTGTTAAAAAAATCAAATTTAAATACTGTCGCAGTACTAGTTACTACAGGGTAGCTTCAGGGGTGACTTGAAACCTTTAAAAGTTTTTTACTAGTAAGTTTTTTTTCAGCTCAACTGGCGTGTGCTCAAAGATTGCCGGCCTTGTTTCCGCATCTCAAGTTTTGTCCAGTTGCTAATTTGAATTTCAACTATCTTGCTCGGCATGTCTGCCTAGAATTCTTGTTTGATAAAAACAGGTGTTATGGTTTTTATATTTAATTTTTTGTGAAACGCTTTGGAAAATTTTAATACTTTTTGAAAAATATTTTCTACTTGATTACTGAATTTCAAAAGGGGGTATACATAGAAAGACCGCCTACATTTTTGTGACTGCTTACTCCCTTGGTATCTTCTTGCTCTCTCATTTGTCTACAGCTTTCGAAAACGTGTGGGGGTGAATATGTAGGGAGTCGGAATTGTTTCTAAGGAAAAGTCAAGGTTAAAACCTGAACTTATTTGAGAGTTTATCATGCAGAGAACTGACATCATGAATTCACGAATGCTAGAAATCCCTTATATTTAATTGTTAAGATTATATGACAAGCATAAAGAAAATCTATATGACAAGCCTATAAATTTTTCAGCTTTTTTTAAAAATTAATCAATATAACCAAAAAATACCCTTCTATATCAGAGTTTTTGGGTTCAATCCAAAGAATGGGTTGTTGGAAGCCGTTGCAAATGCGACTACGCCCAAAGTTTGTATACATAACAATTTATGGCCCTCGGAAAAGTCAAAGTTTTGATTTTTTGACTGTTTTTTGAAACCTTTTTATTTTTCTCGAGAACTACCCGGCCAAACCTAGGTTTTTGGGTTCAATCGAAATAATAGATTGATTGAAACTCTTCTACTTAAGCGGCTACGTCCAATTGTTTTTTGAAACAAAAAGTTATGATTGTCGGAATTTTCAGCTCTCTGATTTGTTGACCGTTTTTTGACCTTTTCTCTAACTATCCTGCCAAAACTGATATCACAGCTTTAATCGACGCAACAGGTTGTTGCAAGCTTAACTTTATAATTTGCTACGCCCAGTTTCTGTTAGAAAAAAGTTGTTGCCTTTAAACACGTTTTTTGGAAGTTTTTTTTACTCGTCTCGAAAATTACCAATTTTCAGGTCAAGTGCTCAATCGAGAAATACGGCTGCTTTTGGGAATCTTCTCTTCTTTACCGGCCACGATCTGCATTTAGCAGAAAAAAGTTACTGATTTTCGAATTTTGACTATTTTATAGAAACTTTTTGAATTTTATCAAAAAGTACCCTATCAAACCTGAGATTTTGTTTGTAAGAGAAAGGCGTGGTCTTGGGGAAAATTCCAAAATCCCTAAATTTTCACTTTTCTCATTTTATTGAGAAACAACTAAGGTTTTGGGTTAAGTTTAATTATTGACGCATTTCGCCCCGCATCAGTATAGCAAAATCAAAAAATATTAAGTAATTACCTCCAGCTTTAGCTGAGCCCTAGGTAACCTGCATTGAGACATAAGAAAATTTTGGTTCACCTAATTTTTTCAGCATTTTTCATTTTTCCGACTCACGCTTTTTACACCGAAGACTTTAGTCAAGGTGTTATGGTATCGTGTAACGGGGTTTTTTTTTTAATGTTGTCTGTTGTCAAGTGTCGACAAATAACGTCCACAGTTATCAATTATCATGTGGGCTGGACTATATCGCGCTATGTCACGTGATTGCGTATGTTTGTTTCTTTATTTGTTCATCTTTATTTATTTAATTATCTGTTCTTCTATTTATTTAATTATGTTTAGTTTGCTTATATTTATTTATAATTTATGTATGTACATATTTATTTTTGTTTATTTTTATCACGTGTTTTGTTTATTTATTTAATTATTCTTTCTTTCATTTAGTTTTGCTTTTATTATTTCTGCGTGTGTATTTATTTAATTTATTTATTTTCATTTATTTATATTATGGGTCTGTTTGTTTGGTTATTTGTTCATATATATTTTTTCATGTCTATTTAATTATTTGTACATTTCACTTTTGCTTTTATTTATTTATTTATTTATTTATTTATTTATGTATTTATTTATGTATTTATTTATTTATTTATGTATTGATTTATTTTTTTATTGCTCATTTATTTATCAGGTGTGTTTTGTTTACTTGTTGATATTTATTTCTATATTTATTTAATTATTCTTTCTTTCATTTAGTTTTGCTTTTATTATTTTTGTATGTGTATTTATTTCATTTATTTATTTTCATTTATTCATATTATGGGTCTGTTTGTTTGGTTATTTGTTCATATATATTTTTTCATGTCTATTTAATTATTTGTATATTTCACTTTTGCTTTTATTTATTTATATATTTATTTATAGAACTGTTATTCCATGATCTTTGTCAATATAGCAAAAATTTGACGTATACATGTGTTAGTACGATTTTTAGCTCTCGAACTGTTATTTCATGATCTTTGCCAATATAGCAAAATTTTGGTGTATACATGTGTTAGTACGATTTTTAGTTCTAGAAGTGTTATTTTATGATCTTCGTTGATATATCAAAAATTTAACCTATACATGTGTTAGTACGATTTTTAGTTCTAGAACTGTTATTTCAGGCTCTTTCTCGATATAGCAAAATTTTGGTGTATACATGTATTAGTACGATTTTTTGTTCTAGAACTGTTATTCTTCAATTATTAGTTGTTCAAGTTGTTTGGTTTTTGCTTCAGTTTCTATGCCTTCGGTGTATTGCGCGTAGCGCCTATGTTTTATGATTATGTTGTATCGCAAGTGGTGCGAAGCTGCACTTCACCTCTGTGTCAAAATGTGTTTTTGTGTGACAGACAAAAGAAACCTAGTTGAAGCATATTTTTTAAAAATGTTCTTGGATGGTGTAAAGGTCATTCGTTTGACACAGCTTCTAATTCATCGGGAATTTTCTTACGGTTAAAGTTAATCCACCACGCTTTCAAACTGAATCTTCAAATTTACTTAAACGCAATCTGAAATAAATCCGATCAAAGGTCTTCTCAATCGATCGTATCATGATTCAAAGTCCACTCTGAAAACTCGAAATTAGCCAATCATAGGTTCGAACTCGGTTACACGCCTTTAAGTTAGGTCAAAGTTAATACTGTCTATCGCTCTCTGTTGAGCTCAAAGATCGAAGTTCTTTAAATTAACGTAAACTCGGTTCTTTGAATCATGATTTAAGAAGAGTACAGTCGAAACTGAGTTTTATTCATTTCTGACCAAGTTAGCGTTCCAGTTGGATAGAGCTGAAATTGTATATCTGTTAAAGCAAGAGGAAGTTAAATTGTGCTCAAAAATAGAATTGATTTTCAGATCAGTTTCGTTCCTGCAGTTAATTGCCAGAGTTTGTTTGGAAATACAAAGTCAAAAGTAAGCGTTTGAAATGGCTGAAGCACAGCCAGCTGTCGCCTTCCAGTTTATAGTGACACCAGAAGGATGGAATCTGAAAGTAGACAACCATGCATTGACTGCTGTGTTTATGTCGGGACTGAGGTCCTGGCAGAAATCTTTGACTTGGTTGCAACGTCGCTTCATTACAGGTTACTATTTAAAAGAACAGCTTTGTTTTTATTTCTCGGATGAACGGTTTTTAAGAAAATGGTCACTTCATATCAACACAGTAGAAGTTGTCCGTTTATTTGTTGGATCTCATTTTTTCTCGGCGGTTAAGAAAAAATTAAATTAGGCATCTTAAAGTTCTGGCAAAAGTGCACTTAATTGGGTGCCGAGCTCACTTTGACCGCTCATCGAGTTTCTATCTTTCAAATTTGGGTTATCTGGAACATAAAACTTCAGTAAATTGTCTATAATGGGTTTTTCTTTCAGGGGTCTATCCGGCTACATGGGCCAGCTGGATTCTGGTGTTCTTCATTATTCTGGCTCTGCAGTTTGCTGATCTGCCACCTACTTATCACATAAATAGATTCGTCTCATCCTATTTCAGGTGAGCGATAAAAAAACAATGCAATCACGTGTGAGTCACTGTTTTGATTTTTGATTCAATCTGACTGTTTATTACCCTTAGGATTAGCAAGGGTATTGTAATCGGGTACCAGAATTTTCTTCACATTTTAGTTCGTTTCGCAAAAGAAATTTTGCTCAAAACTTTAATTACTACTTCTTTTTGAGCATTCAACCTTATTTATATATTTTTGATTCAGGTAGTTGAGTTCATAAGTTTTAGCGCTGTTTTCAGATGATTTGAATGGCACCTGGTTTTTTAATTGACTTCATTGTATTGAAGCTAATTTTGTTTCAGGACCGATAATAATTTAATTGATAGACTCAGTTTTAACAAGCCGGGAGTGCCATCAGATCAGAAATTTTGTATTCCCGTAAACAACATTTCCTACAATTTTGTACAAAATTGAACTTGCTTTATTATTCAACATCAAGAAGTTTCAGAATTAGTCTGGGGGTAACGCGGTTGCCTTTGGAACATAATGTCCGGGGTTTCGAGTCGCGGTCGGACCTTCTTTTTTGCAGTTGGCCTGAAATTATTTTTTGTTCCGAGAAAAATTGAATGGTCGGACTTTCGTTTGTTTGCTTAAGTTTTGTTAGATCATTTGATTCATCACGTTTTTTTTTGAGCAGTAGCATTTTTCATGGTAGTTACAAGTGTTGTTCATTTACTTCTGTGTGTTGTAAATTTACTAGCCCTGGCTCCGTACGTTTTAATTGTTCGTTTTTATTTTTGCTTAAAAGCTTATTGCTGGTAGTTGTGTTGCTCGACTGTGTTTCTGAAATTTTCTGAAAAACAATATAAAATGAGTAGCTTTTCTGTATTTTTGCTTGTTTTTGTTTAATATTGTTTTTTTCAAAGTCCAGTTAATGTTCATATCGTTTTCGGGTGTTCGTTCTTTTTCTACACTTGCTACTGCAACGTGAGATATTTCCGAAAGTTGAAAAATTCTTGTCTTCTGAACTATTCAAAGTTTTACAGCCAAGTATGTTTTTTTTTCACCTCAACTACGCATAAGGAAAATGTTAGGTTTTCAGACTCATTAAGAACCAAAAAAGAAAGAAATAAAAGAGGCTAATCTATTAGTTTAATTTTCCACTATTTCAGTTTTAAAAATTGACGTTATCATTCTGAATTTAACGCGCAAATTAAATATTACTATTGATCCAGTTTTCTCTAAATGGGATGAATTTCTAAAAAGTTCCCATTATAAACATTTCACGAAGTTCAAAGAGCTCTAACCTGATATATTCCCTCTTCGAAATTTGAAAAATGTTCGTAAATATCTAAGCCATTTTTCTTAGTTTTCTTGTGATCATTGACACTGTTCCAGTATGATGGCTATGTTTATAGTTTAATGTTAAATGTTCTGCAGTTTGAATATTCTAATTGAGCTCTTATTTACTAGAAAAGTAATGGAAAATATGAAAAAACTCGAAAATAAAATTTTCTGAAAATCTTTTCTTTCAATTTTTTGATGTTTTTGTACGTTTTTTTAGTTGTCTTGCTTGCTGTCTAACATCAAATTCAGATATTCTTTGCTGAAGAAAATAAAAATGGAGCGATCGAAAATGAAACATTCTGTAAAACAATTTTAGTTTTTTTTTAGAAACAATTTTATCGTTATTTGTAATTTTCTGATAACAATTTTTTGATGGCTGGAGCTTTTCGTGCTACTTAATCAGCAACAGGCTATCCTTGTTGCTTGTTTTATATTCTTCGAAGTAAAGATCATTGTCGCTCTAAAACTCAAATTCTACAAGATTTTTTCATAGAATTCTCACTAAAATGAATCATAGGTATTTTTCCTTTTCAGCTCAACACTGAACCCGCCCCTCGACTTCTATCTGGCTAGCTCTCTATGTGCCAGCATTCTCTGGCTCTCTTTCGTCCTAATCTCACGCTGGGGTCTATGGTGTCTCCTTCAATACCAAGGGTTCATGTTCGAAGCACCAGGCGAGTAGCTCAAGTATCTAAACAAGAACAAGAGATTTAGGGTTCGAATCTCAGACTGTTTTTTTTTACAATTAAGTGAATGAAATGGCTGCTTATGTTATGCTAGCATTGTTAGATAAAATATTAAATTTGGCCGATTGTTTCGCGAATTGTACATTTGAAAGGCAACCTCGTCTGTTGAAAAAAACTCCGATTTCTAGTTAACTAACTATTTGAACCATGTTAAATTTTATAAAAGTAGCCTAACCAGTTACCTATGTACTCGGTGCATATATTAGTTGCCAAAGCTAAATGTTAAGTTTAAATTGAAGGTTTTCGTTTTTTTTAGGCAGAGGAGCGTCGATTCTCACAAAAATCTGGGCGATCGTCCTACGACTCTGGGCCGGCAGAGATTTCATGCTCTATTCGTTTCAACATGCATTGCCTAAATTGCCGCTGCCCTCTTTGAAAGACACTTTAAGAAGACATCTGAGAACTATGCGACCATTGTGTGATGATGAGAAGTTTGCGAAGTGGGAACAGTTGTCGAAGGAGTTCGAAAAGGGAATCGGACGCCGTTTGCAGGTTAGGTGGAAATAGATTGATTTATAAATGGATATATATATTGGATACTGGAATTTATAAGGACAAATAGCCCGTTTGAGGGCTGGAAGTAACACCTCGAGAAAAAAAATAGGTGAATAAACCAGACAACCATCATCGCATTTAATATTATATCTTCACGTGGACCAATGTTAATGAATTTGGACAAGAGTTTCAAATTCAATCAAGTTTTTTTTGGAAGAGTTTTGACACAAGAACTGATCGCTCACTTAGAAAATATGCGTGGTTCGAAGATTGAGATGTGGAATTTGGAAAATTATCGTATGCTTTTTTCGCTTCTGATTATCATATTTTATTGTTGGACCTTTCTACGTTTTCCACCCAAAATGAATTAACAGCGTATCCTTTACTAATTGAAGGGTTCTTCAAATTTAGTATTGAAGTCTTATTTAATTTTAGTCTATCAGTATTGAGCATTGATATTTATGAATTTGGAAGGAATAAGTAAAAAGGGATTTCCTTAACTACCCCTCCCCCTATGGTAACTAGTAGCGATTTGCTACCCCCTATAAAGAACTAATTCAACAGTTAAGCATATGTGATACTTGTATCTAGTAACGAATCTCTTTTTACAAAAATCGAAACTTGTTCAAAATGTCTTTAAAAAAAAGATTGTCCTTTTTTGCAGTTGTATCTGACGATCAAAAGCTGGTGGTCTTCCAACTGGGTCACAGATTGGTGGGAAGATTACGTGTACTTGGCCAACAGACAGCCACTTGGATTCTCGTCAAGTTTCTACGGATTGGATAACTTGTTGTACCCCATGGAAGGAAAGGTAAGAGGGTACTAGGCGAATAGTTGAATCTTGATTGGGAGAATATTTGAATCTTGCTTGAGCTGTGACCGAAGTTGAATTGATTCTTTTATTAACACATGAGCTTGAAATGGAACAATTTTTGGATGCCGACTACTGAACAAAAAGCATTTTTTGTTTCTATTTTGATTGACATATAGAAAGAAACGTATTAAAAATTGCCTTTTGGCAGGGGAGGATATAGAATTTTCTCTAGGTGGCTGGATTTTCAAAAATATTTCTTCTTAGTGATAAAATTGATTTTCTGAGCTTTGTTGTGACATCATCCCTTCATGATGTCATTCATTCTAGTTAACCATCTGAACCGAATAGATTACATAATTCACCTTGATGTTAAAATAGAGCTGCATCATATATTTATTTAACTATGTAAACATTGATGGTAATTAATACCAATCATTGGAGATTTATACCGAGCTACGAATCAATTGAATAGAGATCAACTTAATATACTATTCCAATCATGCTCTTACTTGCGCCGATCGACTTGCGAAATATCAGAAGCTAGGAATCGGAACCAGCATCCTTTAAAGCAAGATAGGTCTTTACCGCTCGAGACATATCTAAATAATGAATCCAATCTAAATACAATTGATAGCCAGTAGTGCTAAATAACATTACCAATTGAACAGCTCGCATAACAGTAGACGACAGTATACCCGTATTATCCATCCGCCAGATACGGATTATTATATGGTGACAGGAGTGGGTCTCAAGTGACTTTCAAATGGCAAAAGGAGTAGCACAGCAGATCAGCAGCGCCTACCCATGCATCAAACCAACCCTAAAAAGCATTGAAACACCGATAGTTGGATCATCAGTTTCAGTTTCTTTGCCTTGGGAAAACAAGTCAATTTTCAATTTAGTCACAAAACCACAATTTTTTGACAAGCCAACATACTACGATTTGTCAAGAAGCCTCAACTGCATGAAGCAGCAGCTACTGCAGAAGGGAATAAACGCTATAGCCATGCCGAAAATCGGATGTGGACTCGACAAATTGAAAGAAAGCAGAGTTTTCAGCCTAATTTGCGACATTTTCGAAAAAACGAACATCAAAATCTTTATTTATGTGTGACGAAAAATCACGATATCAGCTAGTAACGTTCATGCATGCATTCTTAACAATGTAAGCTCCAAAACCACCCAATCGATACAATTGAAGTCACGAAAAAACCAAAATAAAACAGAAAAAGTATAAAATTTCGAGAAAACTCTCATTTCCTCAAGTTGAGCTTTTCTGAAAAACTGACACCCAAGTCGAAATATACGTAATGCAACCGCTTTGAACCCGTGGAATACCTTCAAGGCCCAACTAGGACTCAGGCAGGAAGTCGGCTCACTAGGAGAAGTCAACTTCGCGAGATCTCGAAAAATCCACCTGTTGCCCATGTTTAAACATTACGAATAAAAAGATTCTGCTCCCCCCAAAAATATTAGCTAGAGAAGAAAGAAATTTTTTGGGCTCAGTAATCATTAGACCACCAATAAGGAACAGGCAGGAAGTCGATCCACTAGCAGATCAAAATTTGGAGAAATACATCAATTTACACTATTCCCATGTATTATGATAGGCAAAACAAGAAAAAATATAAAATTCGAGGGATATCTTCGCAGAAATTCAGAAAGAAAGCGTTCAAATGAGCCAACAAACATCCAATGTGCTTGTTAGGCAACCCTAAAAGGTTGTCAGTGATACTGAAGAACAACACACGAATCTTGAATGCCAAGAAGATATCAAAAAAAGATAAACGAAATTAATGAAAAAAAAAAAAAAAGTAATTTATCAACTACTCTAACTGACGCCAAATTTTGCTCAGGCGAACCAGCAAATTGTCTGAATAGCCTATAGGAGTGAAGTGCAGCTACAGTAGAAGAAAAGAACTGAAAAAAAAACAAAAAGCCAGACACTACACACAATACGATGATCGCGATCAATGCAAAAACATCGTAGAAATGTGTAATTTTGACTTTTTCAAAGAAAAAAGTCGATCACCTTCATTCAGGGAGTAAGGCCAATAAAGGCACAAAACGCCCATACGATGAAGACCAGAAGACTTCTGAAAAGTAGACAACGAACAGTAAATGAAATATCAACCTTTTAGCAAGTAATATAAAGTACTAATTGCTAAGCTAGTTGAAAATTTTCAAAAGAAATCGTGAAGAAATCAACAAAACATATCACTGTTAAGTTGTTGATAATCAATTCACAATCTATGAGGCAACGATTGGAACCACACCGCCTCATATCAAAAAGACTTCAGCATCAAACGAGCACAAAAAGAATGAAAGGCAACAACGAACGAAGACAGCGATATCAAAAATTAAAACGAAACGACGACCAAAACTATTCAGCTACTCCACACGACAGTTCTTGCCGTGGAAATTTAGTTACAGTTGACAACTGAATACATCATGATATCATTATTTTATCCTTATCATCTATCACTTTAACTCCCATACCCCGACTCAAGGTGGCTTGCTTAAAAATTATCTCCCATTTAAGTTTAAAATAATTTATCTTCTCTCGTTTTATAAATTGAATTAATAAACTGTGCTTCTAATACTATGAGTTTATTAAATTATTGCGATATAACTTTTGATAGACCCATACCATATTGATACTTGTACATATTCTTAATCAAAGCAGTCTTAAATTATTATGTGAATTATTGTAAATGTATCTGATGAAACACTTCAACCACCCGGGAAGACTTCCTCTTGTGAGGTTGTGTGACATCATCCCTTCATGATGTCATTCATTCTAGTTAACCATCTGAACCGAATAGATTACATAATTCACCTTGATGTTAAAATAGAGCTGCATCATATATTTATTTAACTATGTAAACATTGATGGTAATTAATACCAATCATTGGAGATTTATACCGAGCTACGAATCAATTGAATAGAGATCAACTTAATATACTATTCCAATCATGCTCTTACTTGCGCCGATCGACTTGCGAAATATCAGAAGCTAGGAATCGGAACCAGCATCCTTTAAAGCAAGATAGGTCTTTACCGCTCGAGACATATCTAAATAATGAATCCAATCTAAATACAATTGATAGCCAGTAGTGCTAAATAACATTACCAATTGAACAGCTCGCATAACAGTAGACGACAGTATACCCGTATTATCCATCCGCCAGATACGGATTATTATATTTGTCTCTACACTACGAAACGCTGAAAAATTTGAAGTTTTTTGTTTACTTCTATAGATGGGTTTTGAAACGAGAGGTTTCTAAATACCTTTCGAACTCTTCGTAAAATATTAATTGGACATTGTTTTACTGATTGTAAATTTTTTCCAGGTAAAGCCCGCAGCCCGTGCTGCTAACATAGTTCACGCCATGCTGCAATTCCGCCGTTTGATCGAACACGAGACTCTCCCCCCTCTGCTAATGAGAGACACCAGACCTCTGTGTAGTGCACAGTATGTGAGGGCATTCAATACTACAAGGATACCACAGAAGGACAAGGATAGATTGAGACACATTAACCATACCACACATGTGGCTGTCAACTGCTGGGGAAAGTGAGTGAAAATTAAATGATTGTTAATTAGATTTTTGCCCGCTTTTTTGAGGAGTTTGACTATAATTCACGCTTTGAAGAGGATCTTGATCAAAAAGGCAAGTTTTTGGAGGATCTTGATCCAAAATGCAAGTTTGGAGGATTTGACAACAATTTCATATTTGGAGGCTTTGACTGAACAAAACTTTTTTGGAAGATTTTCACAAAACAAACATTTTCGGGGTAATGACAAATAATCTCAATTTTGGACACTGGTCTTTGGGAAATCACATATGAAAATTCCAAACTATTAAGATGGCCCAGAATACTGGGCTGAAGGATAGGCTGAAACATTTTAAGCATAGGGCCCAAGTGGCTGTCAATGGCTGGTAATGTTGGTATAAATAGCAGAAATATGTTGCTGAATGAATGTCTTCGAAACTAATTACGGCGGATTCATTACTTTACAATGCACTAGGCGTTCAGTAAATCATATTCGCCAAGATTTTTTCTGAGTAAATTTCTCGGCAAATCAGAGAAATGACCCTAAGGCCATCGACTTATTATTGACAAATTTTTCTATGGCAGCATGTCAGTTTTAATATTTTGGAACTGTTTCTTTTCGCAATCACAGTCATTATTGAAAAAATTGAAGTGGTTTCGTCACAACGATTGACTATTTGTTTACTCAATTTTAGCTTCAAACTCTTTAATAACTATGCAATCTCTGCAATTTTTCCTTTTTTTGATATATTGTTTCTAGCACTTAAGAAGAAATTCTGCTGTTTAGGTGGTACAAGATGCAGTGTTACTACATGGGCGATCTACTTCGCCCCTGTGATATTGAGAAGCAATTCAAGAGAATAATGGAGGATGCCACTTCGTACCCTGTGAATGAGACTGAAGCCAGACTACCTGCTGTCACCAACGTCAACAGAGACCAGTGGGCAGAAACCAGGTATTTGATTAATTCGTTCAAATCAGAAGCTGAACATTAAACTCGAAGTGTATATTGATTAAAGCGTTCAAATTAGAGTTTGAAGTGGATGTTAATATTGATTGGTTCATTCACATTTGAAGTTAAACTCGAAGTTTACTCATGTTTATAATAGTACTTTCAAAAAGAAAAGTTTCAAGAAGAAAAGCAGTTTTTTTTAAAACAGTTTTTGTGTCTGAAAAGTATGGTCCGATAATTACTATGTCTGCATAATCATCGGATATAGGGAGAAGAATCCATTTGTGGCGACGAGACGTATGTAACTTTTGGCGTCAATTTCCACCAAATTTTCCAACAAGTGTCGAAAGCTTCTTTTGGCAAAAACCTAAAGAAGCGTTTAATTCCTGTTTGATTTATTAAACAGGTATTATGAAAACGTTTTTTTTCCAGATGAGATCTGGTTTTTTTTTTTTATTTATTTTTTTTTTTTGAGACGCTTTTTCGAAAAATTCGCTTTCCCAAAAAACTACCCGTCAGATTCTCATAAAAGTGGTACCAATGGATTCAGTAGCGTTTCACGTACCTGCCTGCATGAAATTTAGGGCAATTTTTACCCTACCCCACCCCCTACGGTCTTAGAAAAGCTTCACAACTCGGTACTTTTTTCACTTTTTGCCAATTTTTTCGGAAATTTTCGATTTCCTCAAAAACTACCCGTCCAGATTTGGTATTAAGGGTTTAATCGATAGACCAGGTTGTAGGAAACTCCCATGCACAAGCGGCTGGTCCCTAATTTGCTTAGGGGAAGAGCTATAGACTTAGGAAAAGTCACTTTTTTTGATTTTTTCCCTATTTTTTCGGAAATTATCGATTTCCTCAAAAACTACCCATCCAGATTTGGAATTAAGGGTTTAATCGATAGACCAGGTTGTAGGAAACTCCCCCGCACAAGCGGCTGGTCCTTAACTTGCCTAGGGGGAGAGCTATAGACTTAGGAAAAGTCACTTTTTTGACTTTTTTGGCCTTTTTTCAAATCTTTCCGATTTCCTCAAAAACTACCCGTCCAGATTTGGGATTAAGGGTTTAATCGATAGACCAGGTTGTAGGAACCCCCTACCCCCTACACAAACGGCTCGTCCCTAATTTGTCTAGGGGAAGAGCTATACACTTAGGAATAGTCAATTTTTCGGTTTTTAGGCCATTTTTTCAAACCTTTTTCGATTTCTTCAAAAACTACCCATCCAGATTTGCATAATGAATGCATAAGCTTCTCTTTCACTTTTTTTGCGTAGGAAGGGCGCTATCGACTTGAGAAACCTGAAATTTTAAAACAATTTTAAAATAATCAATATTAAAATAATCAAACAGGTCTCTCCAGCTTTCAGCTGGGCCCCTAGTTTCTGGCACGAAAAGTGTCCTTATTCTGTTTCGGATGAGCTGTGAAAATCATTTTGATCGATCTAAAGAAGGTCAAAAATTTCGCAACCAGCATATTTATCATAATTGCCCAAAATGTCGAACTGCTTCACAATGGAATCAGACTAATGCTGCCCTTTTATTTAAAAGAATTTCAATTAGGGTTTTTGATTGGAAACTTCAAATTGTAAAGTTCCCTCTTTTTTTTTTCAGATCGAATTTTTTCGCGAGTGGCGTGAACAAGGACAGTTTGAAGGCGATCGAAGATGCGGCATTTGTAGTCGTGTTCTCTAGCAAGGACTTCATATTCAAGGAAAATGAGGTCGGATCGGGTGAGTTGAATTACACTGTTATATGGCCATTGGATAGGTTTATGTGGCCATTTGAGGGTAGTGATTTTGGGGTTTTGGTAGTGTTTCGAGAAAGAACTTACTCTTTTCTTTTAACTTCTGGAAATAATTTGATCTAACATTGAGTTCTTTGGATGAACTTTTTTTAGCACTGGTTAATATTAGTTTGTGCATTTTTGGTCAATCATTGATATGAAATTACCAAACAACAACTACAGGTAAAAATTCGAATTTACAATTTTGTGATTTTTTATTGAGGACCGTAATGCTAAATCGATTATTTTTGTGAATGTAAAATTGACGTACATTTTTTTCTAAATGCATTAAATTTTTCGTTTATTTCAATAAATTGATAGAAAAAACTTGTGTTTTTTTTTTACAGCTGACGAATCAGTGCAACGGGCACTACATGGAGATGGCCACACATATTGGTTTGACAAGAGCATCAATGTGTGTTTCCACCCTAACAGCAGAATGACAGCCTCAGTGGAGCACAGCTGGGCAGACGCACCTGTCTCCAGTCAAGTGTTCGAGTATGCACTCTATCATGAGTTGAGGTCACACGGATACACTCTTGGTTAGTGAGTGAGAGGTATTAGTTAATAAGTATAATAAATCATAATAGATGTTGTAACTTAACTTAGTAATACTCTAAAATATATGATATAGTAAATACACTCGCGGAGCCTGTAATTGAAATTTTTTCAGATTTTGCCATTAGTCCTCTGATTAATTTCTGATAAAATCGGATAAACTCAAAAATATGATATGAACATAAACTTGATCATTTAGAGTTACTATGGGGTATAGGTTCAGTTTCTGTTACTAAGAATTACTGAAGTACCAGGTAATATACAGGGATGTATTAATAGAGGGATGGTGGGGGGGGGGGGGGGGGTACGACCCTCAGGAATTACACCTCTTTACCACTCAAAGGGTCGCCTCTTTGGTACTATTTTGCGACATCAATATTTGGACGACAACCTGAATATTTTTAAGGCTCTAATTTTTACTTTGTTGAGAGAAGAGCGCGCGCCGTGAAAAGAGCAAGTTTTTGGTCAAAAAAATCCAAAAAAATGCCTACAAATGTTGCTTTTGCTTTTTAAAAAATCAAAAATGGCTCTATATAGTGTTTAGGCGAGCTCGAAAATTCAGTTTCATTGACAAGATAATTTCCTAGGTCTAATACTCGGTTCACTCTTCGGGTTTGTTTCAGATGGTCACACAATGGGCGATTCGAATCTGAACCTCCCGAACCCCCTTCGACTCAACTGGGACTTCACACCTCCTCTCAAAACATTCATAGACCACAGCTACCGGGAAAACACCAGTGCGTGCAAAGACGTGGACCTGCGACTCTTATACTTCAAAGATTTCGGGAAAGGATTTATGAAGAAAGCTAAATGTAGTCCCGATGGATTTATACAACTAGCCTTTCAATTGGCTTACTTCCGAGACGTCGGGCAGTTTCATTTGACTTACGAGGCTTCCATGACTCGGCTTTACCGAGAAGGTAGAACGGAAACAGTTCGTTCGTGTACGGTTGAGTCGTGTGATTTCGTACGTGCAATGTGTGAAAATCCGAGAACAAAAAGCAAAGACGAGTTGAAGAAATTGTTGCAGACAAGTGTGAAAACTCACCAGGAATTGTACAAGGATTGTATGTCGGGTAGTGGCATTGATAGGCACCTGTTTTGCCTTTATGTTCTGGCTAGATACATGAAGGTATGTTGAATGCGTTTAAATTGCAGAGTAATTTTTTTGATGTAATTGAAGAATTGTAAAAAAATAGAAAATGGGATACCGATCCCCTTAAAAATGATTTTTCTATTTTTTTTTGGTATGAGTTGCCTTGAAAATGATTTTTGCTCGCTAAAATCATGGGATATTTTTTTAAATTAATTATGTCAGACAGAATTACTTTGAATTCCTTTACTTTATCTTGCCGATTCTAGATTTTTTTGGCTGGTTTTGATAAATCAATAGTTCATAAAGGAAAAAATACAATTAACGTTTTTTATTTTAATTGCATGCAGAAATAATGATGATATACGTGATTTTACTATGACCTCTGTAGCATTGTGATTGCTTAAATGTTTAGTCGGTGTAAAGGACATACATCGGCTTTTTTAAGTCTGTTCACGCATCAGACTGGCTTTGAAGCGTGATTAGTCTGGTATTCGTGTGAATGATTGTATTGAGCTTTTCTTTTTTTACATGAAAAATAAAACCAAATCACCAAGAGTATTTTGGCTTCTTTTGCATGAAAATATTGTCTATAAACTGCAAATTCAGCTCAAATATTGCCAGGCAAATTAAGGATCTCTTTAACTATCCTCCCCCCCCCCCTATGGTACCTAGTAACTAATTACTACCCCTATAATGCTATAAAGTACTCATTCAAGGGCTAAGCATGTGCGTTACCTGCTGCCCGTGTTATAGAATAATTTTAATGCCGTTATTCGGTTCGAAATTAATGAGGGGGAAACTGTTTTGATTTAAGTTCTGATGTGTGTTTAATTTCTTGTTAATAGTTGTGATCGATATTGATGTCATTCCAATGACAAGCGTTTTGTTTATATTTCGTCAGGTCAACTGTGAATTCTTGGAAGAAGTCATTTCGGAGAAGTGGCGACTGTCCACTAGTCAGACAGCTGTCTATCAGATGTTGCAACACTCAGTTGACTGGAGGCAATTACACTGTGGCGGAGGGTTCAATACAGTTGATAGCGATGGCTACGGGATATCGTACATAATAGCCGGCGAAAAAGCAATGTTTTTCCATATTTCGAGTAAATTCAGTTCGGCTAAAACGGACAGTGTGCGGTTTAGAGACAATATTCAGAAAGCGTTAATAGACATGAAGGAACTATTCGATTGATGAAAAACGGCGTCCATAAACACACGGGAAGTAAACTAAAATAAAAGCGTGAATCAAAATCAAACTTCTGAACAGAGTTTCGATGTTGCTGAAATAAACTGAAAACATTACGGTTGAAGGTTTCATTTGGGTTTTATGCTTCAAATTGATTTTTTTGTTATTTTTAGCCGAGGGTCAATTCAACTGCCTTTTTATAGAACCCCTGAAAAAGTTTTCGGTTATCAAATATTTATGCTTACGTGAAAATGACCTGAGAAAAATAAATAAATATGGATTGCTTGCAATTAGGGTTTAGTGCTGATTTAAATTTCCAGACAAAACGATTTACACAATAAATTAAAAACTAATTTTTCTCAAATTAGGTTGACTTAAGGCAAAAAAAGACGAAGACCAAACTTGCTCAGAATTTAAGAAGAATTAATATTTTGAAACTTTAGGAAGGGTATAATCTCCAAAAAATTGCGAAAATTGTTTTAAAAATGGTTTCAAATATAAATTGTGGTTTTATATGATAAAATGCTCTTTTTTGTCTATCAAACAAAAAAAATTAATTTATACAAGGTTTTGAAGATTATAACCCTTTTTAAGTTTGTTGGGCTGCGTAAGAGACTAATTTTGATACAATTAAGCCAGTGATCGACCTGGTAGCTAGTAGTTTTGCTGTAATTTTTGATTGACTACAAAAGCCTAAGTTGATCCACTTTTGGGGTAAAATTTTTTTGCCTGAATTTCGCAAAAGAAATTGCACCGTATTAATTCTACTTAAGCTGTAAGCAAGTTTTGTCTCATCATTTTTTTTAAACCAAAGTCAACTCAATTTGAGATAAACGCTTTTTAAGTTTTAATTTTAAACCGTTTTGTCCAGATAATTGAAATCAGCATTGTATTTTATTTTGAGTACCGAAAAGTTTTTTTATTGTTCTCGATTATATCCAAATATTAAACGTGAGATAACTGTCATCCTGAACTGTATGTTTTAACTTTGTAAATAGTTTCTAACCCACACATTTTAATTCGATAACCACAGTCTTACTTCAATATGAACAATATTCTGTTTTTTAGCAAATCTTTTATAAACATTTGCAGTGAGTAGGCTTTTTCATCTTACTTGAATTTTGTGTCACTGAAAATTTAAACTCAGCGTATTCTGGGGTACAGAAAAAAGAAAAGCAATACCTCAAATTTCTGTTTCAAAGTTGTTAAGTTGGAGCCAGTGGTGTGCTTCCTAACAGCTGGAAATAAAAGTCATTTGACTGTGACTTGAAAAAGTTTGCGCTTTATTTGAGTAGATTAGAAGCACTAGCGCAAGCACCGTTGTTTTAATTGATTCAGAACCAAGAATTGTAAAAAAAAACAGAACCGAAGGTTGGCTCTGGCTTTTTTCACACAGATGAAGGAAGGATAATCAGATGGGAATTTGGGTGTAAAACATAGTCTCCAGTGTCTATAACCATATGAAGCTTTACTGTTGTTAGTTTATCCCTTTTTAAATGAATTGTCATTACTTTTGTATTTGATAATTAATTAAGGAGTTTCATAAATGTATTGTTTTCATTTCCAATATCAGAGATTTAGTAATAAATGTTTTATTCGCTTTTATTAGGATAGTTTTATTATGTAGTTTTTTTTTATTAGACAGCATAACAGTTTGCTAATTTTGTAATGCCTGCGACTTGTGGCTTGGATGCTCATGTTTCGAATCCCAGGCTCAGCTTGTTTTTATAAAGCTTTTTATTAATAGGCTGCCGTGTTTTCTGTGTTTTTAGTGTCAGTGGACGTCGTAGACACTTATCAAACTTGTGTAAATTCAGTATTATAAGGCTTTTTGCTGGTTTTGGTAAAAAGCGGAAAATAGCATTGATTTGAATGAAATTAGGAAATTAAGCAAAATTAGGTGAGAAAAAATTAACAACCTCAGCAAGTTTCAGAAAAGTTACAAGAATACTATAATTAACAGCAAATATTCCGGAAAAGCATGGGTTATCTACTGAACAAGTCCCTTGATGCAGTTTTAGTGTCAATAAATTCAGGTACGATTGGCTTTTAATTCAAGTTCGGCTCAGTTGTATTTAATGATAGGAATCACGCTCTCAGATATATAAAATTGAAAACATGAAAAAAACAGTGCAAATCGCTCAAAAAATAACGAATAACCTAAGTTTCAAAAGTGGGATTAAATTTAAATTTTCAAGCGGAATAAAAAATACAGTTTGACCCATTTTCTCCAAATCTTAGATTATCAATCGTAAGTCATTCTTGAAAACGAACAAGCTTCTTCGCAAGGTGGTCTTTCGGAATAAACACAAATAATGCATAAAAATCTGTTTCTCGGTTTTCCTTGTTCATTGACACTTTTCCAAATTTCATGTGACGTTTTTTTTCTTTTTTTTCCACCGTTTTTCAGCAATAAGTTAAAAAAATTCAGCTTAGTTTGTTGAAGTTTTTTGCTTTCCATAAATATTCACGGGTAAAATACTTTCAGCCTGAACTTAATTTTTCTCATTTTTCCAAAAAAATTCTGAGGTGGGATAATCTCATTTCCTTTTATTGGAACGTTTTGCGCTAAAGTAATTCGGTTCTCTTTATTTAATCTGTTGTAGCTACCCAGTTTAAGTTCAACAATTACAACTTTATGGCGCAAAACTTATATTTTTAAAATGCAAGCCTTAAAATTTATCAAACTATTTATTTTTCAATACAATTGCAATGTGGCGAAGCATTTAAAAAAAAATGTTTTCGTTCCCACCCTTGCAAAGCCAAGTGCCACAAATAACCATCTTTAAAGAAACTTATTTTCTTTTCAAGAAACTTATTTAGATAATAAAATTTTGTGCAAAAAATTAGAAAAAAAAAATGTTTTTTAAGTTTTCATACTTTGTTATTCATTTTTTCATTTTGGTTGATCATGCTTAATTCACTGATTTTTTTCGCAATCGTATAGTTCTCAAATCACGCCAAGCACTAAAATTGATTTTTATTTGAAGAAACGAAGAATTAGTTTTTTTTTCAATAATCTGTCTATCTATACTATGTTTAAATGCGAGTGACAGCTATCTCCCATGAGTAAGCATAATAATTTTGCCTGTTTAACGAAAGAATTTTGTTCTTTTTCAAGCTATATGTACCAATAGTTGAGTACCGCAGGGGTTTGTGATGGTTCCCCCGTGTTTCAATCTTTCTAATGGCGACTGTCAAGTTACTCGAACCCTGGCGGCAAAGTTTGCAGATGACAACACCCCCTGCAACGGTAGTAAACATGAAGTTGACTCGGTAAATCAAGCCATCGGTCACATCATGGAATGGTGTGAATCCAATTATCTTATCTTGAACAACGAGAAATCCAAAGAAGTTCAGATCAAATTATCTCACTCAGTTACTTTTCAATCTGTTCATGACATTGAGATCACCGACAAACTTAAAATTCTAGGCATCACGTTCACCGATAAACTCTCTTTTGAACCTCAAATAACAAAGGCAACCAAAAAAGCCTCATCACAGCTGTTTCTGCTTGTTAAACTGAAAAACCCTGTATACACCAAAATTGAACTCAATCATCTCTACAATCAGCTTGTTATGCCCATCCTATTGTATGGTATTCAAGTATGGGGGGGGGGGGGGGGCGCACCCCAATATTTGCTCGACAAGATAAAAGCCGAGTCCAGAGGAGGGCTGTTGATGCAGGCGTTGTTCAAGGGTTTGTCTCAATCAACGACTTAGTAAGGAAAGAGGACGAAAACTTTACCGAATTATATCGAGAGATGACAACCATATTCTTTCAAGTATAATTCCATCTCGATCAGAGTATAGCGAAGCAAAATTGAGAGCGCGAAACCCAGTCGACAAGTATCTGATCAAAGAAAAAAATAAGCGGCATTTCTCTGACAGGTTCTTGAGAAACTACAATTTGTAAATGTATTGGCCAATCATGTTTATTGGGACAAATCTGAGAGGTCTCGGAATATATGCGCTATTAGTACGATTCTATAACTTGGCATATGAATCACTGATTTTGCTACAAACCTTTTGACCGGAATGAAATTTCGGATTATAATTGATTTTCCATGAGAAACTGCAATTTGTAATATATTTGTTAATCAGTTGTACTAAGCTGATTTCAATTGAGACTTATTTTATATCATATATTGCAATGGTTAAGGTTTTTTTTTCGATTTTCCAGTTTAAATTCAGTGTTTGTCTCATCATATTGAAATTGGCAACACAATGGAAGGTTGCTGTCAGAGTTTTCTCTAGTTTTGAGATTCTGGCCTCCATATATGAATAACCAAATCATTTTAGTTAACGAAATCGGCGATTTTCGATACTTTTCAAAAATTTCTAGAAAATATAATTTAAAAAATGTTTAAGTTTTTGAAATTTTGACACTGCAATGGGATGCTGTCAGGATACTCTCAGGTGTTGCAAATCTTGCCTCCAAATCTCACTTCTCAAATCCTTGTAGTTTTCAAGATATGAGGTTTTCTTTATGATTTTTCAAAAGTTTTTTTCAAAAACTTTGGTTTTAACAAATTCCAAAAATTTGGAAGATCTCAATCTTGTTCTTGGATATTGTGAGGGTACTCTCAGAGGTTGAGAATCTTGCCTCTGATTATGTCTGCTCAAATCCTTGCAGTTTTCGAGATATGATGTTTTCTAAGGATTTTTTAGGAGTTGTTTTGTTTTTTTTTGGATTCTTAGGATATAAAAAAATTCACAAAATGTGATATTTCCATCTCTGTGTTGAGGCTTTGTCAGGGTACTCTCAGGAGCTGAGAATTGGGCCTCTTAATGTGACTGCTCAAAACCTTGCATTTTTCCAGATAAGACGTTTTTTTGTGATTTTTTTCAAAAAATTTTCTTGAAATATTAATTTTTTTTCAAAGTTTGAAATTCCTAATTTGTGGCTGGGGGCTGTCAGTGTTCTCAGGGGTTAGAAATTTGGCCTCAAAATAAAAATGCCCTTATTGTTTTAGCTTAAAAGTTTTTTGTGATTTAATTGGAAATTTTCAGAAAACTGTAATTACAAAATAATTCATTAAAGTGAAATTCCCAAGCCTGTACTTGTGTGCTGTCAGAGTACTTTCAAAGATTGCGAATATTGCCATAAAGTAAGACTGCTCAATTATTGTAAGACTGCATAAGCTTTTTCAGAAAACTTAAGGTGAAGTTTCTCAAATTTTGAATTTCCCAACGTTGTAGTTGGGTACGATAAGGGTAAATTCAGTAGTTGCATATCTTGCGTCCAAATGCGACTGCTCAATTGTTTTTAGTTTCAAAGATGAGACGTTTTAGTTTATTTTAAATTTTTCGAAGAACCTATATAAAACTTCTCA